AGCAGGAATTTGACATCTGAGCAAAAAATAAGTGTGTTTAGCTCTCTTATTTTTCTTTCTTTCTTTGTGGGCAATGGCTAGGATGACTTTTGTGTTTTATACAATTCCAAAGAAACAGTGCTTCCTCATTTAATTCTTCCTATTGCTGTGCAGTAGCAAAATACCATCTTTTCCACTCTTTCTGATATTTTCACACGTGAAGTGCATTAGGTCTGTTAATTTCACTAGCTTGATGCCTTCAACTAAATAATGTTAAAACAAACCTGTTTGTACGCTAGTTCTTTGTCACTGAAATTGCCGTCATTACTGCAGAAGTGTGGTACCTTGAGGCACTGAGTCTTGGCTAACATACCTTCAGACATTTATTCACCATTCTAGTATTGATTCTTCCTTTTCACCAAATTGTACATAACAGGATGTGAAATATTTTTGGCACTGTTCATTAAATGAGTGAGCACATCACAACAGAAGTTAAAGTAGAACAAGAACTAAGAATTAATATGTAGCAGGATAGTTGTACAAAACTAATGTTTTAATTACCAAAGCCAGTAGACTGAACTTGACATGGAGTATAACAGTGTGACAGTGCCTGTAACTTGCTGCAGTTTTGTCTTAATGGAAGAAGCAGATATGACTTCCATTTTGAGGAGCAGAGAGATGAGGGAAAGGGTTGGGCATAGGATCAAATCGTAATGACTTAGTGATTTTCTTCAGTTAACTAATCAATCTCAGTAACCTTTTTAAAACCCATTTTCTAGAGTATCTGTTGCCAGCATCATCTTTCATCAAACCTACAGTGAGCATGGCTGCTGGGGTATTTTACTGGCTGCTTAAAAAAGCTAAAGATGACTGGAAAATGAGAAGGAATGAATTCTGGTCTTCATAGGTAAGACCAGAATTTACAGTGTTGGACTATCGATTTGTGTGAACAGTGGCAAGAAGCCCACCACATCTTCTGCTGTTCTAATTATATAAATCCGAAGTGTTTCTCTATGTGGGATCATTTTAGAGAAATCCGTAAAGTGGGCTTCAGGCTCTATTTAACATTTGCATATGATGTGTTTTACACAACATGGCATTTTTCAAGTGGAAAAACTGTAAGATGTGTCTGAAGGTAGTTATGAACAGTTTGCTGAAAGCTAATAAATTGACCTGTGCTGCCTAGTGCCTATTTGCATGCTCTTAATAGTGGTGCTTAGCAGGTAGCTTACACCTTTTGCATCAAAGAATAATCTTTCTTGCCTTTACCACATAGTAAGAGCATGCATGAAGTAGTTATTGTTGAATATCTGAGGTGTGCTGAATTCATGTCCTCTCTTATTTTGCAGTAACATGCATATCTCTTTGTATTACAAAGCCTAACTCCTTTTAATAACTGTTTAATGAACCTTACTGTAGGCAGAAGATTGGAAATGTTCTTTATTTTTTTTCAGAGGTTAGAAATGGTTATTTACGAAAAATTAATTGACATGCTGTAACTGTGCAAGCATAAAGCAAGCTGTCTATACTGGCCGGTCTAAATAACTGCAAGTACATGTTGCAGTCATTGACAGACAAGAAAGAAGTGATTGCAGCTGCCCCAGCATGCATTCTTTGATGCTTTAAGAGTTTATTTTGTGGTTATATTGCCGTATACATAAGGCTTATCTGGATTCATGTTGGACTTGAATTAATCATCCCTCCTGGAGCGCTCGGACACACCCAGCTGCCTCTGCAGCACTCACTCTTTGCAATCAAATATTTCTGTATCTCCCAATGCATCCAGCATTATCTAGATTATCTCCCCCTTAGTTTGGGTATTGGAGGTTTAGCAAGAGGTCTGTGTTGTATGTATAAATACACCTCACAGTTCCTTGGTCAACATGTTATTCCTGCTTTAATGATGAAGCAGCTGAGGTGTTCTGATCAGTGTTTTCAAAGGTTATAAAACATTTTTAAACAAATCTGTTTTTTTTTCTGTTTCTTTATCATCTATAGGCTCTGTATATGTGGATTTATAGATGCATGATGCGCAAAGTATTGTTTCCAGAACAATGTGTGTTTTGCCCTTATTAAAGGGGTAGGTTTTGGTGTTCTGTGGTAGTTAAGGAATTTTTGACTAATCAAATCTTCTTAGATTTGATTTTTTTTGGGGGGCAGGATTGGAGAAACATTTTAGTTGGCATTTTTCTCCCTAGAAGTTAGGAGAGTGTCAAAAATAGTGCATAAGGTGAAAAGAATGAGATCAGCCACTGAAAATGTTTATGGTGAAGGAACCTCTTGACTTCCCATATCACCAATATTAAGGTGTGAAGTGTCTGTCTGAACCACAAGGCCTTGGACACAGCCATTTTGGGAGGCAAGGAGTTAGTTGGGGATGGAAAGACTGGAGTTTGTATTCTTTCTGCTCTGTTACCCATTGCTATCTTCATGGATCTGACACTCTGTTTATCTGACAGTGCACTCAGTACTGCTTCGCCAGGGAAAATTGCACAAAACAAGCCCAGTGCATCAGCATTTTCATTGTGTATTAAGCTGAGCCTCCCTTCACATGGTCACATCCCCTTTTTAATCTGGGATTCCATGTCCCTTTCCCAGTCCAGCCTGTTTCTGTGGTGTCTATTGCTGGTCTCCCTGAGCTTCTGTTTCTGTGGTTTGAGTGTTTTTTGTGTGGCTGAGTGTTAAGACCTGCAGGACTTTTGGAAGTGGCGTTGTTTAGGGGTTAGGCAATACACTGATTTAGTGTTAGTAGTTTGTCACAGACTGAGGTGATGGCTGCGTTCAAGTTGGATTTCCTCCCAGAGATGATGGTGGACCATTGCTCCTTGAATGCTAGCCCTGTGTAAGTATTTTGTCTTCATGTATAAGCTTATAACTAAAGTGATAGTAGGAATTGCTGTCCCTGAAACCTCTGATGTCTGAACTCCACTTGGGGTGGCAGGGGCAGGAAGAGAGCTGGCAGTTTATTTTCTTGAAGAAATCCAATAGGCATTGACAATTGATGTTGGATTTTGAATAAGGGGGAAAATGATCTGATAATTTTGGGGCTGAGGGCTATGGAGGAATAAAGCTATTTGACAGCACTATTTATAGTATGCTACAGGTCCTGATATTATAAAATCAGTTATTTAAATCAATTGTTGCAAGAACAGTTTCTGTTCTTCCCTATTAATGACTCCAGACTAAACCTTTTAATTAGAAATGAAAGATTCCTTGAATACTGTTGAGTTGCCCAGTTAACAGGAGCCATGCTATGCTCTTGAAGCTACCCATGGCATAGAAGGCAGGGCTGAAAATTATTGGAAGCAGGTAAATGATTTCCACTTGTTCTCAATCGGAATGAAAAGAGGTAGTTTACCTCTTCGTAAAAGGTATTGTTTGCCTTGGCTATTTGGAGAGGTGCTTACCCTTTCTGAGTGGAAAGGTAGAGAGGAGTAAAAGGATTTATGATGATTCCCTTCCCTTCTAGTAATAAGCTTTGTTGTTGCTGAAGTCTCTTCATACAGCTATAAAATTATGAGCTTTTCCTGGCATCAGTTTTTCCTTAGGCTGTGAACAGCAACGTATTGAGGGGAAAAATTAACTAAACGTTACCTGCTTTGGAAATTTTTTGTTTTAAATTCTGTTTGGGTGGGAATATGATTGCAGGCGGACAGTGAGAGGAGTGCTGTTTACTGTAAAGTGCAGTTACAAGCCATTCAAAAACTATCTTTAAAGGAAAAAAGCAGAGATGGAGAGAGCTGACTACTCTGGAAGAAGGCCACCTGTATTCTTCAACAAAGAGTTTGGGGGCGGGGGGAATCATTGTATAGTTACTATTCCACTCCCCAGGTCCTTTCTAGATTATACAGGGGTTGGTCAGCAATTTTAACCTACTAATCACTATAGCAACAATAGGATGTTGTTATAGTCAGTCTTCCACAGAGATGGGTCTTGTGGTATACCAGGCTGTGACTACTGACAACAAGACCTCACATTGCACTTGACAAACAGTCAATACAGAAAGCAGTGTATGACTGTAATCTAGCTGGGTGGAGTATAACACAGTTTTATTAATAGGCTGTAAACTGTTCATATGGCTAGATATAATGCCTTGAAGCCTATTGAAGATTCCCATACTTGAAACTGTGTTGTTGTAGTCTAAGAAGTGACTTTTTTTCTGTGTTAACACCCTACCATAACTCAACTTGATTCAGTCTCTTGACTAACTAGATTGTCCAATCCCAACCTGTTCATGTACAACCTGAGCCTGTTTTTTTTTCCAAATAAGTCTTGAAAGCTCCCTAGTTTCACAAAGAGCTATTGCCTTGTAATCCTTTAATGAAATTTCTCATCTGTTCAGTTGTACCTGTTTCTGGTTTAAGGTGGGTCTTTACCCTAGAAAACAGTCCCACATAGTGACATTTAAAAACAGAAAAAAAAAATTATGCTGTACTTTTCAGTGGTTACTGATAACTTCAGTAGTCTGTGAGTAGACTGAGCTTACGTTCCTTTCTGTTCTGGTTTCTTTCTGTAAAATTTTACATGGTTGAACTAATGATATTTTTCAGTCATCTCAACAAATTTATGTTCTGATTCTCAGATGTTGACTACATTATAGGAACAAACATTAAGAGAAGTTTTAAACAGCTGTGTAGAGGGTGTTTGGTTTCCAAGTACACAGCTTGCCAATGAATGTGAATGATGTTTATGAATATTCTCTGGTATGCAGGACTGGGAATGTGCAAGAGTCTCTCTTTATATGTATATTTTCAACATATACATTTATATATGTGTAGAAACATATTTTTTCTTATCTCACTGTAAGCATGCTTCTTCTAGCTGCAACAGCATGTAAAATCTGTGGAAAAATATAAATAAGAAATTCTTTCTTGTTTTTCATAGCTCAAAGAAAATGAATGGCACGCTGGATCACCCAGACCAACCTGATCTAGATGCTATCAAGATGTTTGTGGGTCAGGTCCCACGGAGCTGGTGTGAGAAGGATCTAAGAGAACTTTTTGAACAGTATGGTGCTGTCTATGAAATCAATGTTTTGAGGGACAGGAGCCAAAACCCTCCTCAAAGCAAAGGTGAGAACTTCTGTACTTCTCAAGTGAGACTTGGGGTCTTAGCTGCTTTCACATAGTTACAATCTTGGCTGTTTGCTGATTCAAACATTCCTGTGTGGTGGAGCTCTGTGTGACCAGATGTGCATGCAAGACCAGGTCTTATAGTCTTTAAGTGTGTGTGCCTAATTATACTTGGACTGTCATTAGCTGAGCTGAGGAAAATCATAAATCTTTATTTTAGAGCTCAGAAGTAATGGGGATTGCTTGAAGAGTATGGATTATAATTGCAAAGCAAAACATCAAATTAATATTGTGTTGCTCCAGAGCATCATTGTGATGCTATGGTATGATGAAAATGTTGCTGGAAGTGTCACAGTTTCAAGATAAAATATAAAATTGAGGTCTTAGTCATTTGTGTACATCAAATCCTAACTAAATGCTGTACCTGGATTTGCAGTTCAGCTATATGCAATATTTTATTTCCTGTGAAACTTAAGTTTTTGGTACTAGCAAATAATTGTTGAGTTTGATAATGGAAGTAGCCAACAACTATTTGGCAAATGTATCTAAAAGTTTGTTTTAGTGTTGTATTGGTGGGGTTGGGTCAGTTCTGAGTATATCCTATTGTATTACACATATAAATATTTTTTTAAGCAGTCACAATCAGTAGTACCTACCTATTTCAATGCCTAACCTCTTCTACTTGTCATACATTTTGCGTTGGAAGGATAGAAGTGGGATTTGCAATTTCTGTACAACACATCAAGATTTGTAGTTTTCTTGGCTAGCATTTTGTTTCAATTGCAGGGTGCTGTTTTGTTACATTTTATACCCGTAAAGCTGCACTAGAAGCACAGAATGCTCTTCACAACATGAAGATCCTCCCAGGGGTAAGAGAAGACCCATGCTTTCTTCACAACTTTATCTTGTTTTTCTGAGCACTGGCACCACACTGATATACAAACGTATGTTATCTTGCCCTCAAACCATGTTTTAAAAGAACTATTCAAAAGAGCAACGTCATGAGACTTGTATGATGATGGATCTTCAGGGAATTTTGGAGCATTTGGGAGAATAATATGGTAGTGAAGTGGGTAGACATGGCTCCTATAATACTCACTGAGAAGGAATGATGGCATATCGTTAGGAACACTTTTCTTTCTTCTAGAAATTTATGTATTGTTACATATGCACTTCTGTAGAGGCAATTTAGGCTACCATTTCTTTCTTCCACAATTCTTACGAGATGTATTTCATATAGTATAAAGTGAATGCATCTAGGATTAAATAATCTTTCTACATTTCAGATGCACCATCCTATCCAGATGAAACCAGCTGACAGTGAAAAGAGTAATGGTAAGCTGTACTAAAGTCTGAGTTTGGCATCATTAGTGCTAGTAGGGAAGCTTGAGGATTTTCCTTTTGTTGAACAGCTGCTGATAAAGTCATCTTGAATTTGAGACCTAATTTTTTTTAAGAAAGGGGGAAAAAAAAAAAAGTGTGTTTTCAGTACAGTAGGTGGCGTAAATGATGTCTCTAAAATTCCATGACTCGGTATCTCCTGCTGCTGCTTATGGTAGAACCATGTTGTCAGTTAGGGAACCATCCAGTGAGTTCTTCTTTGTACTAAGGTGGTTTAAATCTTTGTTATGGACATGGACAGTGGGATTGAGTGCACCCTCAGCAAGTTTGCAGATGACGCCAAGCTGAGTGTTGTTGTTGATACTCCAGAGGGAAGGGATGCCATCCAGAGGGATCTGGACAGGCTAGAGAGGTTGGCCCATGCAAATCTCACGAAGTTCAACAAGGTCAAGTGCAAGGTCTGGCACTGGGGTCAGGGCAATCCCAAACATGGATACAGGCTGAGCTATGAGTGGATTGAAAGCAGCCCTGTGGAGAAGGACTTGGTACTGGTGGATGGAAAAACTGAATATAAGCTGGCAATGTGTGCTTGCAGCCCAGAAAGCCAGTTGTATCCTGGACTGCATCAAAAGAAGGGCTAATAGGTCAAGGGAGGTGATCCTCCTACTCTATTCTGCTCTTGTGAGACCTCACCTGGAGTACTGCCTTCAGCTCTAGGGCTCCCAGCATAAGAAGGACATGGACCTGTTGAAGCAGGTCCAGAAGGTGGCCATGAAGATGATCAGAGGGCTGGAGCACCTCCTCTATGAGGACAGGCTTAGAGATTTGAGGTTGTTTAGCCTAGAGGAGAGAAGGCTCTAGGGAGACCTTATAGCAGCCTTCCAGTACTTAAAGGGGCCATACAGGAAAGATGGGGAGAGATTCTTTATCAGGGAGTGTAGTGATAGGATATGGGGTAATGGTTTTAAACTGAAAGAGGGTAGATTTAGACTAGGTATTAGGAAGAAATTATTTACTGTGTGGGTGGTGAGACACTGGAAGAGGTTGCCCAGAGAAGCTGCGGAAGTGTTCAAGGCCAGGTTGGATGGGGCTTTGAGCAACCTGATACAGTGGAAGGTAGGTATCCCTGCCTATGGCAGAGGATTGGAACTAGATGATCTTTAAGGTCCCTTCCAACCCAAACCATTCTATGAAATCTAGAAATGCTTTTCCAGGTGCTTGACCAACTTGAAGCAAGGCCTGTTGCAGCTAGGGTGGGAGTCAAAACTTCTTGTAGCATATGAGGGAGACTGAGAATTCACAACATGTTTGGTAGAGAAAAAACTGTGACTACTTCTGTACATGGGCCATTTCAGATGGATTAAGACGTTGGGTAAATTATTATTTATCCATGTATTTCCACGATGAGTTTATATGCATATATATAGATGTTCAAATGCATGTGTGTCTATATATATATATATTGCTGCAAGATAAGCAAAGAAGGTGTTTAGCATCTTGTATTTTCAGCCCTTCTAGTCTTGGCTGAATTTTATTTTCTTCATTTGCCACAGTTACTATAAGATTAGCATTGTGTCATGAAAAAGATAATCCTGGTTCCAGAAAGGTTCCATCTTAAGATAATTGAAAACAGAATATGGGATATATGGGTAACATATATCCATCTGCAAATTCCTCCATGTGTGTACAGAATATGTTTTTGTATAAATATATCTAGAAAGGAGTAATTCTTCTGAAGTACTGTTGAGAGGAGAACAGAATAGGTTCTCTAAAATTGATCTTGCGCGCACAAATATCCTGGGAAAATAATGGAACGAGGAAAAAAGTATTTAATGGAATTTTAGGGTGGCAGTTCTGAAGGTATTATAGAATTACATGAGTTTTAGCAAAAAGTGTAGGTGAAAGTATAAATAAGAAAAGAAAGGTTAAAAAAGTATTTTATCTTGCCATTAAAAAAAAGGGATTCTGGATCTCGTGAACTAAAATGGGCTGCAAAAAGGATTTGAAAGCAGCTTTCTGCTCTAAGAGCTTGAAAGTGAACTGGGTACGATAGGATTTAATAGTCAAAGTCACGTGGGCTGGAATAGTTCAGAATTTTCCTCTTCAACACCATGGAAGACTCAGCAAATAAGTTGATTTCCCCTCACCACTAAATAGAAGAAGACTTTCTCTCTTGAAGCTTCAAATTGTGCAACAGCCTTCATCATATTATATTTTATATTGTGCTGAATGTTGTATTTGCAAACTGGTTTATATTTCCAAATGGTATTCTGCATACTTGCTTTTAAAGGATGAAGCAAATTATTCTTAAGAGGTGATTAGCATCCTTAAATAAGTAAAAGTTTTGCCCTGGATTCAAATTCACCCCACTCCCTTAAGTGACCTTAAACTGACATTAGTAACTGCTAACTGAAAAGTTAAGAGAAGGGTCTTTCTGGACCATTTATTTTAAAATGGTCTGCATACTGAAAGGTATCCTTCAACTCTAATGTGTCTAGTAGCATCAGCATTTAGAGGCAAGGTACAGTAGCACACAGTCCATCGTTTTTGAGGTGTTATTTTCAGGCTTTTGGTACAGACCAGAATGGGTGAATCTGAAACAGAACTGAAACTGTTCTGTTTTAGCAGCTACTGTTGCTTCCACTGTTGAGACAGGAGAATGAGGAAACAGGCGGATCTAAAGTGATTGGCATGATAAAGAGGCTAGAAAGAAGCTTTTTGCAGCTCACTTGTTTAGATAGTTAGCTACGTTGGTAGTCTAGCAATAGAAGAGAAAGAGAGGATGAAAATAGTCCAATAAAATACATACAAGTCTTCACTCACTCACCAGGAACTGACTGTAGGAGATACAGGGAAGTCCTGAATCTGATACACTTCTTTCCTTTTCTTACATTCTTGCAGTTCACAGGCTTGCAATGGAGAAACAGTCAGCAAAATGTAAACATAAAACATGATGAAACAGGCATCCTTCGGGTTCATTGAGGTATCTCATATGCATCCTCTTAAACTGAAGAGATTCCATTCGTGGGAATCTGGTTTTGACAAGCACCTACCCTAAATACATGGGAAATAACGGCAGTTGATGGAGAAGACTTAATAAAATAAGATCTAGTAAGCGCATATTTGCTGGTAATACTCTTATCCTTTGATTTCTTAGCAGTAGAAGATAGGAAGTTGTTTATTGGAATGATATCCAAGAAGTGCAATGAAAATGATATCCGAGTGATGTTCTCCCCCTTTGGGCAGATTGAAGAATGCAGGATATTGCGGGGCCCAGATGGCCTGAGCCGAGGTAAGCAGGGAGCTTTTGTAACAGTTTGGGGTTCTTCATTGGATGAATCCTGTTGCAACTCAAGGTGGCATTTCAGCTCTTTCTGTGATTCTCCCCACCCCACTCTCCACAGGCATTTTCATTTCTTTATTCATCCCAGTAATTGTGGATGTAGTGAATGACTTGATTCCTTTGTTTTTTCCCTAGGTTGTGCATTTGTGACTTTTACAACAAGAGCCATGGCACAAACAGCAATCAAAGCAATGCACCAAGCACAAACCATGGAGGTAAAACAAGTTAGTGGGTGTCAGGAGATGTAATTTGTCAGGCACTCACTATGGAGTTTGGAGGACTAGAGAGCAGAGAGAAGGATAAGTGCAGTGTGTGTTTCTTCACAAATACTACCCCTGGACCTTTGTGTTTGTTCTGCTTCTGTTTTTAGAGCTCGAGATAGAAACTTGATTTGCAGAGAAAATACCAAAATACAAAATAGAATTAAAAGCAAATGAGGTTTTGAACCTTTAATGAAATGTGCTGTTTGAGTATATATAAGTATGTATGCATGTGGGGGGAGAGGAATGCTTCCAATGACCGGGTCTTAATGCAGTATTTTTGTGACTGCTGCGGATAGCAAGTATGTAATTGTTTCAATTGCTGTTTGCAGGGTTGCTCTTCTCCCATTGTGGTAAAATTTGCAGACACGCAGAAGGACAAAGAGCAGAAACGAATTGCTCAGCAACTCCAGCAACAAATGCAACAGATCAGTGCTGCCTCAGTATGGGGAAACTTGGCTGGTCTCAACACACTTGGACCCCAATACTTAGCAGTGAGTTTCTGGTTTGGGTTCTTTTTCATCTCTTCCAGGATTACAGACACTGTAATGTTGTCTTGTAGTGTTTTATGTATTCATTTTTAGAATGCTCCTAACAGATAGGAGCAGGGTTCTTAATCACCATTTTGTGGCTGAGGAGGCTGAAATGAAGTCATATGCTAACAGCTAGTCAGGATACATTTAAGTGAGGATTTCAACGCCAGTCACTGTAGCTGTAACTGCTGAAACTCTTCACCACCCCCACCCCCCATCTTCTGTAGAATGACTTTGCTGGGAAGATTTTCTTTATGTGTTACGGCCTCAATGTTTACCCATATAAATACCCTTTTCATGTATATCTGATGACATAGTTCTTGTATTCCTCTTCCATTTTTCCTTTCATGCCCTTCCAGTGAAACCTAGTACAGTAGTTGGTGCTGTCCCAATAGAAAAGATGATCAGGTTAGAAACATCAAGCAGCTATTATGCACAGTAAAAAAAAAAAAAAAAAAAAAAAAAAACAAAACCAACAACAAACAAACAAACAAACAAAAAAACACAACAAAAAACCCCAGACAAACCAACCACAAACCCCGCACAAACAAAAAAAAAAAACAAAACACCAAAAACCCACAGAAAGTAGAGATAAACTACTCTCTTTAGCAAAATGACACAACAGAAGGTAGTCTGCACTGATTTTAGTTGATTTTTCTGGGTCCCTAAAGGGTGAACTTTTCATGAACTAATGTGCTGTGGCTCATGAGGGTTGCCACAATAGCTATGAGAACTGTATTCATGCAATACAAGGTCTGGGGAACAGAAAAGGAAAATGTAATCTCATTCTTCATATGGTATACTGTTGAAATGAGGGCATTCTCTTTTACTACTGCTTTAGGTTTGATAGATTAGAATTTTTTATAACACCTAGGAGAAAAGAATAGGAAATCCCTCTAAATAGCTTCCGAGGCTTGAAATTTCTCTCATGGCTGCTTTGCTTAAGGGAACTGGAGGGGGTGCCCGCTCACAGTGGCTCTTTGGTTTTGGAATGGCATTTGTTATTTGTCCTATGCTGGCAGTGTCAGCTGTAAGGTCTGGCTTGAGGTAGTATATCCTTAGGGATGAAATTCTGCCCTGAGGTGCTTTGAATAGTTCTCTCTCACTACTAATTCTAATGGTTTTGTCTTGGTGTATTAGCTATAAACTTCCCTCAACATCAGTTATGTTGAGTGAGGAAAGCATTGTGCTGTTGCTTTGGCTGCAATGTGATGCATGGGCAACGTGGATTTTCACGATGGTGGTGCTCTGGCTGAATTGTGTAAGGGGAGTTCTCTTTATGCTTTGCTACAATGTGGTGCATGGGCAGTGGGAGTTCCCTTTGTGACGGCGCTCTGGCTGTGGTGTGATGCAGTTTCTCCCAGAAGCGGAGCCAGCCCTCACTCTCACTCTTGTTTTGTTTTTTGGTGTAATGTCTAGCTTTATTTGCAGCTCCTTCAGCAGACAGCAGCTGCGTCATCTGGGAACCTGAACACATTGAGCAGCCTCCACCCAATGGGAGGTGAGTTTTTTTTTCCACCCAAAGACAAGTTCAGTGGCAAAGAAATGAGGAGGAGGGTAGAAAAAGTAGCCAAAAGACTGTAGACACATTAACCCCATTTGCAACAAGTAGTTCTGAGTTTATCCACTCCTTTGGAATGACAGGAATCCTCTGCTACAAGTGTGGGTGTTCCTTAATCTTAGTTAACCATTGTCCCCAAGGTAAGTGGTGGTATGCTGGTAATCTCCCCTACCTCTAGCATTTAAAATTACCTTCCCTTTTGGGTACAAAAAGATGGCTATGTATATTTACTTTCATCCAAACAGGTGCATATTTGAAGCATTGTGTTTTGAAGTAAGCACTAATGCACGTGTTTCGGTAATAATGGATTCTTAGGTTTCCTGTTTTAGATTCTTTGGTCCTAAATACATCAAAGTTGAAAATGCAGTGTTGGTAGGAATGTGAACTAGTCCTTCATTCAGGTTCTTCAATTCCTTTGTTTGAATTACAATTGATTACACTATTGCTATTAGGGAAATATCAGCTTAATAGGTATGAGCCAAATTCCTTGCTGTGGACTGCTAGTCAGAATATTCACTAAGTATAGCAGTATTGGGACTGCAAATTGATTCTCCCTTCTGTCTTCACAGGGTGGGGAATAATAAAACACGTTAATAACTCCGTTCACTACATTCTCTAAATTATTTCTGCTGGCAGAAAAACTGTAGTTTTTGTTTTAATACTGACCATTTTAAGCTTTTAAAATTGCCTCCTGGAGTTGTATGGTAGTTCACAATACTACATGCCCTGTCTATGCAGAGGTTGATCTAAAAGTGTTAAAAAAGTACAAATACACTTTACAACTGACTTGTTACTGATGGGTATACCAAAACAATTGCAAGCTTTTACAAAGCGTTACATTTTCGGTCGTAAGAACTTTGATTTATACTTGAGGTAAATTCTAACCTTAGCTTCGTATGTTTACTTTTTTCATGTTAGACCTCTTCAGAGCTCTTTAGATCTAAGACTGTTGCCAAAAGCAATTTTTTAAAAATCAGTTTCACTAATATCCTCTGTGGTGGTGATCTATAATAGATTTTGTTATGTGCACGATATTGTTCTTTTTCCCCCTCTTGTGTCTGTTTAAAAGCAAGTGGTAATAAAGGAGAAAAACAGTACAGCAGTTCATGTTAATTGTTACTACAATAAGGATTGGGGCGGGGAAAAGGGGCTAACTAGCTGAGGTTGCCTGTGAAGTTTCCAGGGTAATTCTGTCTTCACTATTTAAAAAAAAAAACAAAAAAAAACAAAAAACAAAAAAAACTTAAAAATTGAGAACTCAGATGTATAAATAGTGTGTTGCATGGTGTTCTGAAAGAATTATTCCAAGTCTGTAATTCTTCACAGAAAAGAGTTTTAGTTTCAAAGTCTTGTTAATATATTAGCTGATCTCCTTTCTTGAAATTTATAGAAAGAAAAATTGAGTAGATAATTAGATCCCAAACTATATCATACTTCGTAGACAAAATTTTGTCCTGACTCTGAAAGCAGATGGGAAAACAATGTGATGACAAGAGGACAGGTGCAGTGCACACATGCCAAACTGCTTCAGAAAGGAAGCAAGCTGCTCTGTTCTTCACTAGCTCTAACACTTGCACTTTTAACCCTCTGTAGCACAATAAGAACAAAAAATAAAACTTTTTGGTTTTAACTTCATGCCATGGCATCTTGAGAATCTAAATAAAGGCAGAATCTTTCTACTTCAGGCACTAAATGTGGTTAGGGAAACAGACCCTCTCACAAAAAGAAAACACTTGAAAAAGATTTAAAAAAAAAAACAATAAATGAACTATGCTAGGGGTAGCAGAAGGTTTTAGAAAATAAATAGTTTATACTGCCTTGTCACTTACATTATGTTGTCTGTTTACATACTTAAATTACAAAACTGAGATTTTAATTATTTGAGATGTGTGCTTTGTCACCAAGTACTTGCTAAGCATCCAAAAGACGAGGTGCCACATCTGTTTGACCAGTTGACTAGCCTACATGTACATTGGCGGATCTTGTGGTCAGGAGTTGCCACTTAACATTGTCTGACAATTGACTTGCTTTTTGACTGCCAAAGAGACCAAACAAAAGGTGCTGATACTCAGCTGATGGTGGGTTAAAGGTCTGACTTTGTGGCCACTGTGGTGTGTGGGCCACCTTGAAAGAATTCTGCAGTTATTACTGTTCTCATACAAAGAGAGTGTGGAGAGACAGGAGACAAGAGGCGGTTATTGGTCTGGTGTCTTGATGAGTTCTCTGGCTTGCAGATGTGCTGTCAGACCCTGGCTTAACTCTCAGGTAAAGCTGCTATGCTTTTGTGACTGGAGAGAACACTGCTTGAAAATTTCCGTACTCTGGAGTCTACATCTGGTCTTTTATGGAAACTCATCGATCTAGGCAAAGAATATTTTTAGTTCCAACAAGGAATCACAATGTAGAAAAAGATCAGTAACTAGTATTAAGCCTGTTGGTTTTAAGCTCCTTCCCATTACTGCCTTGTGAAGTGCTGAGGTTGCTGGATCTGTTAAGCTTGGATGGTGGTGACTATTATAGAAGAAACTGTGCATTCTTCAATGTGTTGCAGGACTGAATGCGATGCAATTACAGAACCTGGCCGCATTAGCAGCTGCAGCCAGCGCAGCTCAGAATACACCGAGTGGTACCGCTGCACTCACTTCCTCCAGCAGTCCTCTGAGTGTGCTCACCAGCTCAGGTAAGAGACTGCCTATGCGGTAGTGTGTTATGACGTAGGTTGCCTTAGGAGTCATTTAAGGATAGATGTCACCTGTTTTGTCTGTCCCTCTTTGTCACTTTCATGTTGATTCTTTAATAGATAAGCAGTTTTACTTGTAGATTAACTGGCCTTTGTTTAGGGTAGATATCTTTGCCACCAGCAAAGGCTTTTATACCTGCTGTGTTCCTTCCCTCAAATGGTCAGATTAATTGAGAGTAAAAAGAATTTTTGAGGTCATCATGAAGCAGAAAGGTAGGTGACCTCTTTCTAGTCACATTATTACAATCACATCATGTATTTGGTTGATCTGTGGTTTTAGGCAGGTACTGTGGCAGATGTACCCTGTTCCTCTGGACATGGAAATAGAAGATGCCTTAAGCATGAAGTAATGCATTCTGTGCACTATAACAGTGCAGTTTATATTCCTCTGGCATTAATGAACACAAGGATACTCTGACTACCTCACAGAGGTAGAATAAGCAGACCCCTAGCACATTTAGAAAGCATTGTCTAGAACTGAGTGTATAACTTGCACATAAAAATCAGTATCTTGCTCTTCTGCATTTTTTTGTTTTTGGTGGGGTTTTTTTTGTTTGTTTGTTTTTTGTTTTGTTTTTGGTTTTTTTTTAACTTTAGCCTCTCTGGATAATGTACATAACCTAGAATGTCCAGTAATGTTCTTTTGCTGCCTTATTATTGAATGTGATCATTAAATGCAACAAAAAAACCCCAAAAAGTAAATTAAATTGTGCTTACATCAGACATGGTCAGTTTTTACCACAAATGAGGATCAGTATCGTAGTCATTTTTTTGTATCCTATTTTCAGTTATTTCTAAATCTTGACATGGGAAGGGAGATCCTGTATTTTCAGGGTGTCAGTTTCCCAGCATCTATGGTGTGTGGGTTTGGTTTTGGTTTTTTGGTTTTTTGATTTTTTTTTTTTTTTAATAAAAAGCCAAATTGCTTATCCAGTTTTGAAATACAGCCTACAGAGCTGACATCTTCACCTGTGATTGTGAGAAACCAAAGGGGATTGGGCGGTGTTTTAAATTTCCACAGGTAGCTTTTCATATTGCATAGGAGGACCAAGGAGCTGGACTAAGAGATTATAAAGAGATCACAAGGAAAAGCTGTTGAGAAAACCTTATGTCACACGATCAGGAGTTAAACCGTGGGTGCTTTGCAGAGTTTTCTACTTAGAGAAATCCCCAAGAAAGAATTCAGTTCAAAGAGTGTTCTGTTGCTAGACAGGATTGGTTTTACATAAAAACTTTGTGGTCTGCAATCCTTAAAGATTAAAATTTCAAAATATATCTTGACTCCCTACTATGGTATCATATTCTATAATTTAAAAAAAAAACAAAACAACCTAACAAAATGTTGAGGCTATAGAAGGGCTGCATTTATAAGCCACTAATGCTGCTTCATCATAGAAAAAGCATGAAGGTGAATATATCCAAGAATTTCTCCCACATTTCCTCATACAGTAACAGAGCTGGAATTGTCAGGTTACTATTTGCTGTGTCTGGAGTTTACAACTGAGATTTCCTTGTTGGCGCTCTCATCTACTGGCTGGAGCAAGTTTGTTTTCTGATTTGTTGAGGTGAGGAAAAGGACTGGCAGGTTGTGAAGTTCAAATGCCAGACATGTTAGAAAAGGCAGAGGCAGCCTCTTCTCAGAAGTCTACAGTGAAGGGACAAGGGCAGTCGACATAAGTTGCAACAGAGGAAATTCTGAATGGATATAAAAGAAAAATAAAATTAATGGTGAGAGTGATTAAGCTCAGAAACCAAGTGCCAGAGGGGGTGTGGAGTCTCCGTCATTTCAGAGATTCAGAATGCAGTTGCAAAGGACCCTAAACAGGCTGATCCAACTCAGGTTAGACCAGCTTTGAGTAGACCATTAGACTAGATGATCCACAAAGGTCCCTTTCAACTGAAGTGATGCTACTGTTGTGTGATTCTTTGGGATTGGTTTCCCCTCCATGAATTTTGGCTGTTCCGCAGCACTCTGCAGGTTCCTTTTTCCCCTTGATGAGAGACACATCTCAGGACTCTGTTCCACTTTTGATCATGCTGATGGAGGGCCTAGGGGGTGGGGAGAAGTCCATTTTTAAGCATGTTCTGTGCTGAATCCAAACAACTTTCTGATTGCCAGTCGTGTTGATAAATGATTGTGTGTCAGCAATTAAGTAATCATGATGGGTCATTTGAATTAATATCCTATACAGATGTATCAGTTCACTCTTCACAGGCTTGTAACATGAAGCAGTCACTATTGTATTGCTCTTTAAACTTAATTCCAATTATCATTCTAAAGAGTAGAGATTAGCTTTGTTCAAAAGAAATAAAAAGTTCTGGAGGATATGTGGTCTATATGTAGTCACTGACATCTAACTCTGAAAAAGTTTCAGTGCTTTTCATTAGAGGTATGAACATGCTTCACCTTTTAAAACCGTACTTAAGTTGGGGGGAAGAGGAAGCCTCAGTGTATACAGACAGCATTCAATCTCATGATACTTCCTGTAATTGTACAACTTTTTAACTCTTTACTCTGAACTAACTATTATCTCTTACAAAAGCAAACTTGAAATTCTCTTTTGATTAATATTTGTATGTGCATTCATGCTGTATGTCTGCACATAGAAGGCTGTTGGACTCCACACATTCGGAGCATCCCTCCTGAACCATACCTAGACCTTGAAAAAAAGTCGGTGTATAGCTGTTCAGTACCACGTGTTAGTAAGTGCCTTGTCTGTGGGACATATGGCAAAGTCTACTGTGATAATCTCTTAAACCTAACTGCAGATGAGGTGACTACCAGCTTGACTTCTATCCATCTATCATCCAAATGTTCACCTGATGTTTATTTGGACATCTGTCCCAGATTGTCCTCAAATTGCACAATTGTTGGAAAAATTCAGACAATCATTATGCATCGTTACCTTTTTGATTTTCTTTCATCTGCACTGATATCTTTTGTGTTTGGGGAAGTTGAAAGTCCACATGGTACAGAATCTGTGGACAGGGTACATGTGAGAATGCTTGAACTCAGATGTGTTAAGTATTGTTTTTGTGCTGTCTCCCTACTTATTTCGGGTGATTTTGTTTAGACAGTATTGTGTGTTTTGATGTAGAACAGAATGGAGCAAAAACTTCAACCTTGCAGTAAAGCAGCTACTCTTTGAAACTGAACAGACTGCTGCTGCATCCACCTATAGGTAATCCATGTTACAGAGACTGTGGCCTTAGATAAACTCATTTAAACTGCTGGCTAGTGAAAGGGACATTCAAGAAAATATTATAGAAGTATTTCAGGATTGAGTGTCTTGTCTGCCATCTTTTCAACTTGGACATCAGTAAGAATTGTCAGCTCCAGAGCAAAGCAGAATGGTTGCAAAAGCTGATGTGTTTCCATTTCTTCTGCTTTCAAAGGCCCAGCAAAGACTAGATGACTTTGCTTACCTTAGTGTGCTGACCTCCAGGAAAATCATTTTCAGAGACATCATAGTCTTTCTGCTTTTACTGGAACTAATTCTGGTACAGTTCAGTCAGATTCATTGCTTGAATTTTAGTGCTCTTTAGCTCATTGCTTGGATGCTAGATGACTGAATTAGAACAGACTTACTGTTCCCTTAGTTTACCTACCTCCACAAGTGGGTAGTTGATGTCCCTTTCCAAGTTTCATTATCTTTCCTAGCTATTCTTTACTACATATTCAAATTTTCTGAAAACCTTTTCAAGTATTTTCAGCTAGTTCTGTTAGACTTAGCCTTTTTGTCTAGATGCAACTCAGTAGATAGATCTAAGAAAACATAACTTCAGTAGCAAACAAAAAAAACTCAACAACCCACCAGAAACTGCACAGAAACAATGTTAAGAATTAGGGATGGAGTAAAAAACATGTATAAAACTATATTGGTTTTCCATCTCCACTACTGTGTGCTGTTTTCTGATCTAAAATAATACACAATAAATAGAAGAACAGTAAGAATGACTGTAACTGTGGGACTACTTCCCTAATAGGAGCAATGAGGGAGCCTGAAAATAGAAGACTGACATGGGAGAAGGATATGATTGCAGCCTACAAATATATATTAGTGTTGTAATGAAGACAAGTAGGAAAACAGCAGTCATTAGATTTTTTGAAGACAAGAATTACAGGATATCAGGTGAAGTTGTCAGCTGACAGTTCAAAAATAAAAAGTGCTCTTTCTTTGCATAGAGCATGATTAAATTGCAGAACTTCTGCCTTAGAACATCATAGAGTCAAACAATTTGGTGACCAAAATGCACTGAAATTAATGGATGAAAATCATAATTTTAATACAAAGACATTGCCCTTGGCTGAAAAAATCCTAGATTCACAAATTGCTGCATAGGTATATAGACTGTACTTAGGGAGTATTCTTTTGTAATTGCTCTGTATTTCTGTACTGTTATTTATCTGCCTCTAGTCATGAGAAATGAGGTGCTGACTCAGTAAAGAAAATAAACCAAACGGTGTTAAATTTTCTTGGCGTTTTCAGTACTTCTTGTTGTACGTCTCTTGTCTTGCTTAAAGAGATTTCTGATAGTCAGATAAACTAAAATAACTGTGTTCAGCTTTTTGTAGTGGTTTAAATTAATTTAGTTAAAATCACAACCTTTTTAAAATATGGAAGGCATCCATTCCCTCTGTTACTTTGCTCCCTAGCCTTGTCTTCGTTCTTTTTTTCCCCATACCATTACTGTTTTATTGTTTTGGGTTTTTTTTAAATTATGTTCTCATCTGTCAAATGTAGTGTCTTTAATTCTGCAGATTAGCAATGAAGTGTTGCAGAAACAAGTGATCTTCTGAAATCGAGCTGTATCTATTTTATCTATATTATAGATTTATATTGTGTATTTATGATACATATACAATACATCTATACATATATAAACATGTAATATCTATATTGTATCTATATTTTATTCAGCTAGCTGTGCTATTTTTCCTACTGACTTGAGGGTGATACTGTAACTTATTCTCTGTATTTTTCCAACATTTAATATGCTACTGATAGTAAGATGGGAAGTGTCTGCTCTTCTTCAGAGTAAGCATCTTAAAGTACAGTTTGGGACATTGTCTTTCAATTTCTGACTTGTTAAGAGAGTTTGTGTAGAGCTTTTCCTAGAGCAGGTTTGTAATTTCCTCTGTCAGTACAAAAACTAAACAGTGATAAGGAAGTGCAGCTCCGTGGGTTCTTGTGCAGCTTTTGTTAGGTACAGCTACTTTAATTATGTACAGTTTTTGCTGGGGCTTGTTTGCTGTATGCCATTTAAATAGTTACCATATTGCACTCCAGCAGAGACTTTGTGCCACATATTCACCATTTCATATATGTAGCATGTGTGAATCTGCTTGAAAGATGTTAACAATTCTTTTCAAAGTTTTAATGGACGTACACGGCATAACTGAGAATCACAAAAACACAAAGGAAACTGAAAATGCCTAAATTTCAGTTCTTCTGTTACCCACTTGGTCAGACAGATAAATTCCTCTTGAAAGCAGACTACGAAACGCCTCTACAACACCAGTTTTCAGTATCTTTTAATGTGTAGAAGCCATAAATATTTTTCAGTGGATCTTGTGCAGTAAATTTAAATTCCTGGGTTAATAGCAATGTACATAGCTTTTCTTATTTACCTTCTTCAGATTTCTTAACATGTTTGTGGACTACTTCGAAAACCACTGCTATATAATTATATAAATATACTATCCTTATTTTTATAATGTCCATAATCTTTATAGATGACCTTAATTTGAACTTCTGTTTCTTTTGATATACCCGCTTGGCAAACTTATTTCTCATGGTTTTGATGTCTATTTCTGTAGAACTGACTCTGCTTATTGTAGAATTTGGCAGGCCATGTGTAAGCTGTTAGTCTGCTTGGTACTGTATCTATAGACTTCTCTTACTGAGTAAACGTGGTTGAAGATGTGAGTAGCACGGTCAACAGAGGATAGACTATGTATTTTGGATTACATTCCAAGGCTTTTCTTGGCCCTAGTCCCAGCTACTGCAGCAGGATTTTTAATGGAAAATTATTATGTGCATGTGCTGCTCCTGTTCTGGCAGTATGGGAAAACCGTATGTTCAGTTTGACTGGATCTTACTTTAATGTCCCTAGTATCAGTGTTTCAGGTCTCTTTCACCTTGTGTGATGTTTGAACGACAGATGTTAGTATGTAGCAAGTGATTCTTACTCACTTTAGTCAGAAGGAAACAGGCGTTGCTGTTAGTCACCTTATGTTGAGGTACAAAATTTAGCTAACGTTCGTATATTGTCTGAATCTTAGGTGTCTTACACTTAATGAAGTTATTATTGCTACAAAGGGTAGATGTTATGATGAAGTAGAAATTTTTCAAAATGTATGAAGGGATTAGAAGATGTAAGCAGTATGATCAATCAAGTTGTGTGGGTTTGGGACTTTTTTTTACATATAGTATACTGTGTTGCTTTACCAGCCTTTTCTACAGAAATAACTTAATGAAGAAGTTGAATTATCAGGACCAAAAATACTGCTTGAAGTTTAATTATCTTATTTTAATAGCAGGTTCTTCACCTAGCTCCAGTAGCAGCTCCTCTGTTAATCCAATGGCTTCTCTTGGAGCATTGCAGACGCTGGCAGGGGCTACAGCAGGCCTCAATGTTAGCTCTTTAGCAGGTAAGCTATGTGGTATATTGGGGGTATAGCTGATAATCATTCCTTAGGCTGTGCTAGTTCTGTGGGGGGCTATTTCTGCTCCTTGCTTCTTATAATAGTGCAGGGTATTTGAAGGATAATTGATCTGGTTCAGTGGAAGTACTCAGTCATCTTTATTTCCTCTTTCTTATACAGGAATGGCAGCCTTAAATGGAGGACTTGGCAGTGGTGGTCTCTCAAATGGGACAGGTAGCACAATGGAAGCCCTCACGCAGGCTTATTCTGGAATCCAGCAATATGCTGCTGCTGCATTGCCCACACTCTATAACCAGAGCCTCTTAACACAGCAGAGTATTGGTGCAGCGGGAAGTCAAAAAGAAGGTAGGCAGAAAGTTGTAGGAACAACTTGAGAGAGATTTTCAAAAGGACAAGCCCAGCTTTTGCAGCTACCTTATCTGCAGAGCTTTTATTTGGTGGCATTTTTTAGAATCTTAAAGTTACTGAATATAAAGAAGGAAAACCTGTGAGATCTCTCTGTTAAGGGCTGTCCAAAGTAGTTTTTATACAGGAGGTTTCTTCCAGGATTTGTCTAGTCTTAAATTCTTAGTAATTGTACTCTTCCATTTTCTCTGAGGACAGGAGTATGAATCTGCAGCCTGATACACCCCACTGTCAGAGAATCAGTTGAGGTTTTGTTAATTTTGTTTTCTTGGTCCTTCACCTCTTCCCACAGATACTTAATGCCGACCTCTTCACTCTTCAATTTCAGAATCAATTTAACATGCAGTGTAAAGTAATGAAGAATGTAGGAGTAAGTTTTCAGTAGAATGTAGGGTGATGCTTAGAAAAGAACCTGTCAGATTACAAGTAATGCAATTGCTTGTATTTTGTATTGAGATTTACTTGGCTTCTTTGGGCCACTAGCTTTGTATAGCCATTTTTGGTTTAATCAGCATCTGGGGCTCAAACTTACTGTTCAGCTTTCGTTACAGCAAAGATCTGTGAACCAGTGTTGGCACAATGTGGAAATTACAAGCAAAAATGGTGAGAAAGACCTAGAATTATTTGAAGGTTCAATCCCAGCAAAGGGTCATGCTCATTTATTCTGGCATCAAGTACTCCACAGAAGTGTGAACAGCAGTTTCATTGTTTTATCTAGAAAATTTGGCTTGAATGGCTCTTTCACCATTTTTTATGAGGTGGGCTTATGTTATCCTTGCTCTTTATGAATTTATGTTCCTACTTGTTGTTTGAAGGTCCAGAGGGAGCCAATCTGTTTATCTACCATCTCCCCCAGGAGTTTGGGGATCAGGATCTGCTGCAGATGTTCATGCCATTTGGAAATGTCGTCTCTGCCAAGGTTTTCATTGACAAGCAGACCAATCTAAGCAAGTGTTTTGGTATGTTGAGTCTAATCATTACCTGAAGAAAGGTGGCTGCTTTCTAGTAATCTCTTTTCCAGTATATTGTTTAGTCCAGCTTTTAGGTCAAGTAGCGACTCTTTCTCTATATCCCTAATAAATAAATATGAACTCTTCCAACAATGAACTGTATTTTCCTGATTTTTATTGGGACTTTTTGCTTTTCCTGGTTTTTGTACTATTATGCCTCATTATACTGTTACGGCCCTAGATAATTCACTATGATTCATGTTTGCAGACTGTAATCATGGTATGCATGGATCCTTTTCTTTCCCCTTTCTATACTTTCACTAATTGTTTATGTAGCTGTGTATACTACAGCTATATACGTACTACATTATCATTATGAATGATTTCTATTAGTATTTTTATACGTAATTATCATGGCTATCCTATAGCATAGGAGCAATTGACTCTCATGTTCTGTAAATGCTCTGAAGGCAATTTTTAATGCTTTCTCCTAATTCTTGAATACTTTGTAATGGTAAAACCATTTCAGCCCTTATTTACTACCTAACTTTGGTTGCATCTCTTCTCCTAATTTTGCTCTGCTTATTGTGTATTTAGATGGGAGGCACATCAGGGTGGGAAGTGTATCCTAAAACTGTAAATGAACCTGTCATGCTATTGTTACTACCCAAATAGATTCTCTTCAGTTAACTGCTTAAGTCTGTGATGCCAAAAGAGCAAAGAACGTATTCTTCCTTAGCTTGTGTAGTAGGAGGCTGCCCATGTGGACTGAGAGTCATGATTTTATTTTCCTCACTTTGAAACCCCAGTGCAAGCTGTAAGCTCTCGTGACTATTTTGATAGATGGAGATTTCTTGTGATGGACTAGGAGAGGTGAGCCTTTCTCTATGGTTTTCATAGCTTTGTGCCTACATCATATCCGGTATTTTTTAGTATTTGATCCAAAAGGTGTGGACAATCTGATGCATTGTGATAACACAAAAATATGCTGAGCATAAGGCGGTAACACCTGCACATGGAGTGATCTCCCCAGGTAGTGATACCAGCCATTGACTGAAGTTATTTTAAAATGGGTTCCTTCAAAACCCTGGAGAAGT